TGACGGCAAGGCTTTGCAGGGCTTGTTTTCTGAACAGTGCTTCATCTGCCTGTCTTGGTATGTAAGATATTTATATGGAGGGAGGGATATTTGTTGTAGTGTATGATAGATACTTATAATGGAGATGAGGTCATGCACTTCTAGCTGAGAATTTCCAAAGCATATAATAAACAATTCTTAATCTTCAGAACAGAGGCTTGGGGTGCCCCCTACACAGTATTTTTGTCTGCCAGAATGGCCTCTCTGCCCATGTCAAGCTCACTTTATGTGTACATACTTCAAGTTCCCTATTTTCTTTCATCTGCCTCTTTGGTAAACAGACAGAAACTTCCTCTGCCTGATCTCTCTCTGACATACTGCAAATTTAGCTCAGACACCAGCTGGCTGTGTGTGTCTCTGGCTATTCATAGAAAGGAAGGGTTTACCTTCCTTCCTTCTGGAGAAACCTGTGACTTTTCATGGGTCCGAATCTATTTTCAAAGGGCCGTTTGGAATCGGAGCTACTGGGTAATGGGAAAAGGTCTTTTTTGTGATACTTGAATAATCTTTTGAAAAATACACCGGTGAGTCATGTGTGTTTCTCGTGTGTTGACTGTACTGTGCTTGCTTTTGAATGATTTTCTCCTCTTGCCTTCATGGGTGTTGTAAATACCGCCACGATCGTCCATCCGCTGTTGGTCATCACGGAGCACCCACGGGTGCAGCAAGTAGCCGTGAACACAGAAGAGCAGAATGCTTAGTTAGCTCAGCCACTGTGTCTGAATGCCACTCTGGTCCTGGCCTGGTCCTTGATTCTAATTTTGATCCAGAAACAATCCCTAAGTCAGCCTGTAAGATATAGGCTGACCTGGAAGTCTGGCCCTGGGTTTCCGAAGCTTCCAGATAAGCTGGAGCCAGTAGGGTTTCTAGGGAGTCCTGGACAAGATGTACTTATTTCCCAATTCAGAAGCAATTTTTTCTTGTCAGTTTAGATTTCCTGCCCAGGGCAGTTCAGAATTGGGTGGGTTTCAGGGCAGTATTCGAGAAGACATTGTCTCGTCACTTTCGGTAATTTTCATAAATCATTTAACATCACAGATATCACTAATTGCCCCTTCCCTGTTATTATTTTTATTCAGATGCCCTGGATTTGGAAACTGGTAACTGGACCGTAAGTTTCTTTAGGGTGAGGACGAGATGTTTTTAGTTTTGTATTCCTAACATCCGCCACAATGCCTAGGGTATAATAACTTCTCAATAAAGGTCTATGTCTAGAACATATGGCAGAATAAATGGTTCTAAAACGTATCCCAAGGTCACTGTCCTTATTTTTTCTTCTCCTGTCCTTCTTGTTTACTCTTCTTGTTTTCATCTCTCTTAGACCAAAGTCTTAGATGATGGCCAGCATCATGTGTTTGTACTGCTTTCTGAAACTCTTCCTACACACTCCTTCCTCAAATTTTGTTCATTTAAAAAGAAATAATATTTTTTTCTTCTTGAGCTTTGTCTTTCATATCTTAAATGATTTTAAACATTATTCATATCTATGATTCTTCTGTTATCTCAAGTTCTTTCTGGTGGTTATGCCTGCTGATTCTTACTTCTAGTTAATTGCTTCCACATGGGTCTTGCAGCTTAGGCTTGTGAGCTCATCTTCAGTGGTGGTTTAACTGTGGGTGTCCTGAGTTGCTTGTATTGAAGACACATCTCTTTAGACAGGTTTTGTTTCTTCTTCTTGACACCCTATGGATGTCCTTGGCCTAGAACCAATTTTATGCCTATTTTTCAGCTTGAAAGTTCCTAGACTGTGCAGGTATTATGAATTCAAAACCCCAAACCACATGAGGACAGATTCTGGGAATGCAAATGGTCAGTGGAGGCACTTTTATTCTCCCATCAGGAATCTAGGCCAAGTCATTGCCTTTCCATCTACCTGTAAGAGTGTTTGGCTTTTTTTCAACATCAATTCATTTCAAGAATCTTTCTTCAAGACCACTTCAAGGATTTTTCTCTATGTGAGGGTGTCAGTTCTAGTTCTTCACCTCATCTCCCATCCCCAAGTGCTGGGGAAATCATACAGTGTGTCCAAATGTGCAGATTCCCTAGCTTTTCAATTTAAAAAAAAAATCACTATCTTTCAAATGATGATAATAAGCCTTAAAACAAGGTTCTGAGAGATGTGTCTCTCCCTGTAGGGATGTTACGAGATTTGAGTAGTAGAATAGATAAAAGGCAGTTTGAAAAAAAAAATTAAAGCACTCTATAATTAGGTTTTGTTTCTTCTTTTAGATACCCTAGGGGTATCATTGGCCTAGAACACATTTTACTAGTATTATTACTAGTATACTCTTTTCCCCAGACTCTTTTCCTTCCTTCTCCTACCATTACATCTCCTTGTCCATTTGTCTAGCTTGTGGCCTTATCCTTAGGCAGAGAATGAACTGCAACCTCCTGGCTGATTTGACCTGATTGAGGATGGTGATTACTGTGGCTCTGTTATTCTCCACGCATGATTCTGTATATCACTCAGGTTCCTTGCTAGAGCGCTGGTGTTGGTAACCCTTGGTCAGTAGTTATTGTTTAGTTAAGTGCATTGCTTTTTTAGTTGAGGTCTTAGCAGCACATGAAATTGTTTATATAGTTCTGATACTTTGGAGTACCAAAGAACTGCTGCCTGAATACAGATCTTCTTTGTAGTTACCTGTGTATGGCATGCCACTGAAGGAGGGTATCAGTTGGTATAGTTGTTCTGGAAGCTACAGAAAACCTTTAAATGCAGGTCAACAGGAACACTGGTAGTACCAATCAAGAATTTTTCTTGGCTTTTTATTTGAGGGCCAAGCTCTCAAACAGAGCATTGACTTCCTTCAGGTCAAATGAAGTCATAATTTGGGCTGGGTTAGTCCTTGTTTAAATCACTTAGGTAAGGTTTAATTTGTTGAACCAAACCCTGGAACCAGTTTAATTGACAGAAGAACATATAATTATGTAACTTTTGTCATAAGACTCAAGAGAAATGTTTCATAGATATAGTGGGGATTCAAAGAGAATATGAGGCTAAGATGAAAAGTGCTTGTAGAGATGGCAATAGAAGAAATAGAAAGAGAAAACATTTGTGAAAGTCTCGTGTCAGTTCTTTGTATAGTTCTTTTTGCCAATTAATACACTTGAAATATTTTTCAAGTTTTCAAATACTGAATCTGTATTTTCATGGAAAGTGTGACATAACTATAAGAGGGTTAACGATGGTTGTATATCTTTCAGAATTTTCTGTGGCATACCTTTACTTTATATGGAATAGTTACGTGACTGTCCTATTTCCACTTATCTGTAATAATTGCCTGCAACATACATAGGCGACAAATTCCCAGCTAATTCGGACTTCTTTTTTTTTTATCCACTTAGAAGTTAGTCCAACCCTTCATGAAACCTATTTACCAGACCTCCTAACAAATAGACTGGTTTGAAGATCAGTTCTTGTCATATCTCCTGTCTGCCATCTGTTTTAGATATTAATGAGTCACAGAATGCCTAAAAGCAGTAGTCTGAAGGAGACTGACAAAGAGCAGAGGGCCTGAACTGTCAGAAAACAGAATTGTGTCCTTGGACAAATCCGAGGGTGGTTGGGTAGGTTGTATAATCAAGTGATAACAGGAACAATGATTAAAATCAACAGCAACTTCACAAATCTTGAAACTAAAATGCATGCTAGTTTTAGGAGAAACCTCAAAGACATAGCATACAAACTTTGGTTACCGTTGTGGAACAGTCAGGGAAGTTTATAGAAGAAGCAACGCGCATAGACCAGTTCAGTTTGGCTGATTTATGCCGAGCATCTAGTTTGCTGCTCCTATGGGCTCTGATAGAGAGGAGTAAGACCAGTTATTCACCCTGTGGAGTTCTTAGTCTTGGAGGCAAGACACCACACAACTATCTATGCTCATGACAAAATAGCTTTGCTGGAGCACTTGGTGTGCATGGGCCAAGCTTCATGCCTGCCTAGGGCTTTATTTACTGACATTATCTTGAATTCTCTCATCAGATATTCTAGTTTACAGATGGAGAAGCAATACTTTTCCCCCCTGCATTTTACCGTGTTAACAACACAATATGTTAAATGCTTTGCCAAGGACTTAGACTGAAGACCGATAGGCAAAAGTCCAATCTTGGCTCTGCTATATACCTATGGGGTCTGGAGGAAATTTCTTAATTTATCTGAGCCACAGTTTTCTCATCTATAAAACAGAGATAGTAATATCTAGCTCAGCTCTCAGCTTCAATGTCAGTATTCTCAGAAAGGCCTTATTCCACCATTCTAAGGATTCTTGTTCCCACCTCCCTGGTCACTGGATCCCATTACCCTGTCTTAGTTTTGGGATAGCCTTTATCACCATCTGAAGTGATGTCATGTGCCATTGGTTTCCATGACTACTGGCAGCCTCCCCACTTGAATGTAAATTTCATGAGGGCAAGGACTGAACCCCAAATCTGGTTCGTGGCACATAGTAGGCATTAAGTAAGTGTTACATGAATGGGTGGTGAACTAGGCAACAGTTAATAGAGATGGAAAGGAGAAGCTGACTGTACTTAATGTTTAATGTCCTTATGAACAATTTCACTGTGTTCCTTTAGAAAGAAAACGAATCATTGCATGCTTTGAACACCGCTATTAAGGTAGGTAAAAGGGTTTGAGGTTTTGGTTTTGGTTTTTTACCATAAGGAAGGTCTGAAAATAAATTGAATTTCATCATCCGTTGCATGATAGTCTGTCCCTGACCTGAGCTGGGCTCCAACAAAAGGAGCCCGGAGACAAACACAACACACAGACACAGAACGGGATCTTTTGTACATGTGACTGTGGGAGATGCTAAGAGAAATGTGTACCCAGAGCTCACCTGAGTAGGTTCTGGCCTTCACTCTCTCCCACAAGCATTAACCTCAGAGTGAATGACGTGTCTCATTATGTCTAGTGAAGGCACCTCTAGCCTCCACTGACTTGTTTATCTTTGCCATTGTTTCAGGATTCTGAGAAGCGAACCCCACTTCATGTGGCTGCATTTCTGGGAGATGCAGAGATCATCGAACTCTTGATTCTGTCAGGTAAATACCCGCTGTACTTAAAAGTCAATTGCAGATGAAAATTTAAATGACCAACTCACTAGATCGACTACTACAATGAACCCAAACTAATTTCTTTATTATGCTCGTGAAAGTGTATTTGATCAGTGATTTTATCAGTAGACAAAAAACAGTGCAAGAGGTTGTTCTTAATGAAAAATGACATCTTCAGTAAAACATTTACATTACCTTGAAAGTCTGATTTCTGACTAATCAGGCCCAGTATTATGAATTCAGTGGATTTGAATATCTTTTCATTTTTTTCACTGTTAAAAAAAATGAACAAACAAAACTGATTCCTTAAAGCCTGCACAAACAAACACCAAATGTATGTGTGTATTTACATACGTTTAAATTCTGTGGCAAAACAATACTATGTTTTGTCGATGGATACCTGACTATGACTGTGTAATAAAACATGGAAGGAAAGGAAACATATCAATTTCGAGGTAGTGGTTACCTGAGGAGGCTGGCTGGGTGAGAGATATTTTCAGGGAAGGGTGAAAAAGAGACTATAACTCTGTAAAATATTTTATTTAAAAAAGATTGGAAGCAGATATGGCAAGCATGGTTTTGTGCTATTATTCTCTTTATTTTTTTATGTATTTTAAATATCTCATCGGATTTAGAAATGTCAATGCTTTCATTTTTGGAAAACTGCGTGCTTGGTACATCTCACCAAACTGGTTTCCAAAACCAATATGTGTTTTCTCCCTTGAGTATTTGCTAGACAAATCCCCAGAATGAATCTGAGCTCATGCACGTGTCTCCCTGTGGATTGCAGACCGTCTGGCTTTTCCTCTTCTTTTTGTCTAGGGAGATGAAAATCTGGAGGAAATACCTCTGCCCACAGACTATGCAAAAGGCCTGTACTAAGGTTTTGCCTTTGTTTGCGGTAGTAAAGGGAAACTGTAGAATTCCAAAGTAAACTATGCAAAGGTAGGAGCTAATGCATATATTCAAACAGATGTGGGGAACGCTGTAGAAAAAAAACCCAAGAATTGTGCTGTGATACACCTGGATGATTCACGTTGCCCTTATTTTTGTTGTGTTCATGTTCTGGAGGTGGATTTTCCCAGGAAACAAGTATTCTGTGCCATACAACGCATGTGCTCCGTGCTCTTGACAAGTGCGTGGAGCTTAGGTTAGATTTTGTGTGGCATTCCTGTTCTTTCAAGAACAGGCCTTCCTTCTGACAATTTTAAAGATGTTCCAGGGCTATGTTCCAAACATGTATTGTTCTGTGCTGGCACAGACTATGGCCAAGAGCCAGTACGCACCTGGCCGGTGGCCCCGGCAGTGGAAATTTGGTCCATGGAAGGTTGTAGGCAGAATCAGTGGGGGTGCAAAATAAAGAATTTTGTGGGCTGACATCGAAGTGGTCCCAACCATCCAAATGTATTAAGAGACATCTTAGAGTCTCAGGAATGCTTAGTTCATGAATGTGCAAATTCAAAACTTTGTCTTAGACCCCCAACTTCGGTTTTTTGTTTGTTTTCCCACTCCTGAAGGAAGATTTTAATTCTGCAGCATGAAGCTGACCCATCTGTTTTCCTCAGGCATCTGTGGGCTGGTGACTTTCGAGCAACATGGCTTCACATCACCTTCAAGTGAGATGGAGTCCACCAGCCTCTCTTATATGGGGTTCATCCAGTAGAGCCTGGAGAAATTGTTCCATAGATCTGGATCAGCACACCTGTTCGGTCTCGGAATTACTGAGCTGTTAGCCTCTCTGGTGTAATTTGGATGGCACATGCTATGGAATTTGTCCTCTTCCTCATATCAAATTAGGAAGGCTTAGGGTATGGGAGAGCATTGGGGGAAGTGCTTTCGAAATTTTACTCAACTGTGGAAGCTTAGACAAACCCTTGGAATTCACATGGCTTTAATTTCCCTGGAAGGTCCTTTATTCAATTTGTATATTAAATTCCTAAAGAAATATCACAAGAGCATGATGATTTCATTTCTGAGCTTACATCTGGCAGCTGACCCTTCAGGGAATCCAACCAAACTGTTTTCCAGTTTAATAATGAATGAGGTGCTAATGATTCCCATGTTGGACAAATAATTTGGCCTTGCCAAAATAGCCCAATACAGCTGTGTACTCCATTGTTGTATTAACTTACAGAGCGTGGTGTAACCCAAGCCCACTAAATTCCTCCTGACGTTATCTCCTAGTAGCCAGGCAGATGGAACCCTGAATGCCTCTGAGTAGAAAGGGAGGAATTCAGGCTTTGGAAACTTTCCTCTTCTTATGACTGCCAGTTCAAATTCTGGCTTTATTTCACCCCGCCCCCCCGCCCCACCTCTGGCTTCTGTTTGGAAACCAGCCGAGTCAGGATTAAGGGGAAGAGAAGGTTAAGATCTTGCTCAGTCATTTGCTGGAGATGCATGAATGAGATCAGGTGAACCAATCAGTGGCTAAGAGTTAAGAGACCAGGGTTGAGCTCCAGGAAGCAGAGCACATGGCACAATGGGCACAGCGACAGGACCCTATAGACAAACCTGGGGTGCACAAGGGTTCAAGTGCTGGGCTGAAGGAAGAAAACTGGAAGTACCCACCTTCTAACACGCTGAGTGTTTGTGAGGTGTAACTACTAATTAAAAATGATATTTATTAGAACATGGGCCACAAAACGAGTGGTATTCCTGTAAAATTATTTCCTATGATTTGTCAAAAGGTAATTACCATTCTCAATGCAAATTGTCGTCAGAGCAGGTGGCAGGTCATTCTTTTCATTCTTTTATGCATAACAAATATTCATCCTTTGCTGTTGGATTTGATTTGATTTTTTTTTTTTTTTTTGGTCTGGTGAAAGAGGGGTGATTAAACAAAGTAATGCTGGTTTGGGCGCCCTCAGTGTGGTGTGATTATAAAGTAATGAGACGTTTTCTGGTGGGTGTGTAAACTGGTTCTAAAGGCAAGTCCAAAGGGAGTTTGAAAAATGTTTTAAGCAATTGCCACATACACTGAATTATCATACACTCTTCCAAGGTCGTTGCTTTGAAGGACAGTGCTCCTGGGCTGTAATAACACTTGGTCTGTTTGTTTAAAAGCAAAATCAATGGCAAGCTGATCTCATTATATTATAATCATGTTTCATATAATCTTTCTTTCGTATTTATTTCTACAATTAAAAGTCAAACTTTGGATAAACCAGCCTTAAAAATCAGTCATTCTCTCTGGCCTGTAAGGTTTTTCAGTCACTTGGTCTGCCTTTTTCCTTTGTTTTACTTCTTCCTAGATGACAAGGCTAAGAACACAGAAATATTGCCTCTGGGAAAGAGACTTAGTTTCCTTTACTCTTGATCTCTATGAAAAAAAATCAAGTGGTAATAGGGATATGATGAAAGCATACTTCATTTATAAAGTATATGCCTGACAACTTTGAGTTGGATCTTTGTTTCTGAAGAATCAGTTATAGTCTAGCACTTTTTTTTTTTTTTAAATGTTTAAGCTTTAAAATGTCCTTGGGTAAAAAGCATTTGCCTTTAAATCATTAGACATGCAGACTCTGTGTCCTTCAGTGCACAATGGTGCCTGACAGGCAGGTAAATAACATGAAGCTTCTTTTAGAAAAATCAGTTATAAATATTCAACTCAAAACCATCCAACGTCTCCCTCTGACATGTAAACAAGACTGTTGGACGTGTTCAACGGAAGAGGGTGAGGAAGAGGGTGGCAGGGGATGACACTGATGAAGTAATCCATGGTCCCCGTTCAGATAACTCTGCTTTTGTCATAATAATTTTGTTGTTCAGGGAGAGGAGGTTTTCCTGGCAGCCGCCTGTTTAACCTTCTGGAGGAGGATGAGTGGAGGGATGGAGACTGAAGGAAGCCACTTCCTAGATTTCTAGTGATTTTTCAATTCCTCAAGTGACTCTAAAGCTGCACAGAAACAATGCTGGTGTGGTTGTCTGTGACACGCCGGGTGTGGGTTGTCTGTGACACGCCAGGTGTGGGTTGTCTGTGACATGCCGCGGGTGTGGGTTGTCATGACACGCCGGGTGTGGGTTGTCATGACATGCCGGGTGTGGGTTGTCTGTGACACGCCACGGGTGTGGGTTATGGTGTGGGTTGTCTGTGACATGCCGCGGGTGTGGGTTGTCATGACACGCCGGGTGTGGGTTGTCATGACATGCCGGGTGTGGGTTGTCTGTGACACGCCACGGGTGTGGGTTATCTGTGACACGCCAGGTGTGGGTTGTCGTGACACACCATGGGTGTGGGTTGTCTGTGACACGCCGCGGGTGTGGGTTGTCATGACACACCGGGTGTGGGTTGTCTGTGATACACTGCGGGTGTGGGTTGTCTATGACACGCTGGGTGTGGGTTGTCTGTGACACACTGTGGGTGTGGGTTGTCTGTGACACGCCGGGTGTGGGTTGTCGTGACACGCCGCGGGTGTGGGTTGTCTGTGACACGCCGGGTGTGGGTTGTCGTGACACGCCGCGGGTGTGGGTTGTCTGTGACACGCCGGGTGTGGGTTGTCGTGACACGGTGTGGGTTGTCTGTGACACGCCGGGTGTGGGTTGTCTGTGACACGCCGGGTGTGGGTTGTCGTGACACACCGCGGGTGTGGGTTGTCTGTGACACGCCGCGGGTGTGGGTTGTCATGACATGCCACGGGTGTGGGTTGTCTGTGACACGCCGGGTGTGGGTTGTCGTGACACACCGCGGGTGTGGGTTGTCTGTGACACGCCGCGGGTGTGGGTTGTCATGACATGCCACGGGTGTGGGTTGTCTGTGACACGCCGGGTGTGGGTTGTCTGTGACACGCCGGGTGTGGGTTGTCTGTGACATGCCACGGGTGTGGGTTGTCTGTGACACGCCGGGTGTGGGTTGTCTGTGACACGCCGGGTGTGGGTTGTCGTGACACGCTGTGGGTGTGGGTTGTCTGTGACACGCCACGGGTGTGGGTTGTCATGACATGCCGGGTGTGGGTTGTCTGTGACACGCCGCGGGTGTGGGTTGTCTGTGA